CAATATGCCTTCATTTGGCACGGGAAGGAGAGAAAACGCTCTTCTAAAAATGGAAGAGAGGATAGACACAGAACAGCTTGTCCCTTTCCATCCAATTAAAAGCTTCGTGAGCCTGAACTAGATTAAAAACAAAACTCTCCAGCTAAGCCGCAGGCCTCCAAGATAGGCAGTCCCCTACCCAGAGGGTACAGCGGATGCCAGCAGCCCTGTCCCTAAGCGGACCGTCCATCCCCGGTAAAGCGCCGCCCCGGAGGCCCGAGGCCGGGGTGGGGGTGTGCGGGGACACACGGAAGCGTCTGGCACGCCGAAGGTGACACAGCGGCTGCCGGGGAAGTGCGGGGCAGGCAGGGTCCCCGACGAGGGGGGAGGCGCAGGACACCTCCCCGGCGTCGGGAGGGCGAGAATCGCGGGCTGGCACGGCCTGGCAGCCGAGTAGGCCCGGGGCGGGAGTGGCACCGGAGGGCGGTGCCCGGTGTCCAGTGCGACGAGAGCGGGCCGCGGTACCCCTCCTGGCGAGAACCCCTCCCCCGCCACGGGCACTGACCTGTCCAGGGCCCGGCTGGGCCTGGCCGGGCGGGGCCTACGCAACCCCTCGGCCGGGCGCCGCCTCGCGCGGGGTCCCGGGCCCGGGCGGGCCGCCTCCTCTCCGCCGCGAGCCTCCGAGCCGGGGCCCGGGGCTGCCGCGGCGCATCCGACCGTACCGGCCGGGCCGGCGTCCACAAAGGGCGGCGGGGGCGCGAGGCCGGGGCGGGGGTGCGGGCGGCGGCGGATTGCGCGCGCGCGGCGGGCGCTCGAGGGCTGCAGCCGCCGCGGAGACAATGCGGCGCGTCCCGGCAGGGCTCCCGCGGCCGCCTCCGCCGGGGGCGGAGCGAGGCGGGGGCGGGGCATGGGCGCGGGGCGGGGCCTCAGGGAGGCGGGGCGCCGGCGCGGAAGCCGGGCCGCGCGCTTCCTTTGTGCGGCCGCGCCGGCCCCGCCCCGCGCCCTGTGGAAGGCGCGGGGGGGCTGGCGGCCGGTTAGGTACGGAAGGGTTCTGTTTAAGGAGGCGGGTGCCGCGCCACGCCAACGTCCGCTCTCGCCCCGTCAAAAGTCCCCCGTGCGGTGGTGGACTCCCGCCTGGCCAAGTCGGAGGCAGGAAGAATAACGACTAGCAGTAATTGAGTGTTGAATATGTGTCAAGCCGTACATGCACGCACTTCCTCTCAGTGTTCACAATAACCCCACAAGTAGTCGTTATCCTCCCCACTGGGAACTGAGGATCAGAGAAGTTAAGTAATGACCAAAGTGACCCAGTTACACCTCCATAAACGGGGCTAATGCCGTCTCTTTAGGTTTACTGTGCAGGCTAACTGAGAGCATTTATACAAATTGCCTGCAGTGCCCGGCACACGGAGCCCAATAAATGTTACTTCTCTTCCTAAACCACGCTGGATTAAACTGAATTGTCGGGAAAGCACCTTCATTCAGTAGATATACTAGAGCTTGTGAGACTCACAAGTCTCACTGCACCCCCATCCCCCAGGCTTTATGCCGAATACTTGCCCCGAATTTCTCTCTCCATGCTTGACTTCTATTTCCAACATTTTCTCATATTCTTACCTTTCTTAGCATTCATATCCCCAGCCCTTTCCCCTCAGGCCTCATCCCTTTACCTTTGTTTCCACATTTTACATTTATTTTATATTCCCCGATCGTTTAGTTTGCTCCCTTTCTCTTTCCCTCGTTCCCCCCACCCCATTTTTCAAATTTTCAAAGCCTTCTTTCATTAATATGCACATTTCCTCCCCCTTTCCGCCTTTGCATTTCTTACACTTACATTTTGTTCTATGAATGCTCGGCCTCTCTGTCCCCCAAACATGCCTACACTCCTGCCTCCCTTCCTTTACTTCACTAGTCCCTTCTCCCCAATGCCACATGTCCAGGTCCTACCTATCCTTCATGGTCTAGACCCAAGAACAGTGGCTGGCAAACTTTTTCTATAAAAGACCAGATAGTAAATATTTTAGACTTGGCAGGCCATGTGGTCTCTGTTGCAACTACTCAACTTTGCTGTTGCAGCAGGAAAGCAGCCACAGACGACACTACCTGAATGAATGTGGCTGTGTGCCAATAAAACTTTATTTATGGACACAGAAATTCGGATTTCGTATAATTTTCTTGTATCACAAAATATTCTTCTTTTTTTGAGTCTTAAAAATTTTTTTTAATGTAAAAACCATTATTAGCTTGTGGGCTGTACAGAAACTGGTGATGTGATGAATTTGGCCCTCAGGATGTAGTTTGCCAACCCTCGCTCTAGAACAATGCCACTTCCTCCCTGCAATCTATCCTGATAATCTCTACTTGGCAGTAACTTTTCTCTCTTACCTTTTAAAGCATTTACCCATAATCGTTCTATGCCATTTATCATATCTTAGTTTTTACTGTATTTTTTTCCTGTGCACTTCTCATCTTTCCCAGAGGACTTTAAGCTCCTTGAAGGTAGGGTACAGACCTTATTTCTCTATGCATTTATTACCTTCCACCCCACAGTACTTTGCACAGAGCAGGCATTCAAACATATACAGAATGAATATTTAAATCTTGGGTGGTTGACAATTGTTTCCACTGTGCAAAACTTACTTTTCTCATGAGATAGAACCTCAGGAGCAAGATGCTTTGTTATATGTGTATCATCTAGATTAGATTTCAGAAAGAGATTTTTGAGAGCTTTCTAGACAAGATGAAGAAAGGGAGGCAAATGTCAGTTCATTCAGAGGTTGTTGGATAACAAATACTTGAACAAAGGCTGTTGATTATCACCAACCTGCAGACAGGGGATGTGTCTTCAGTCGGGTTCTATTCAATATTTCTATCAGCAAATTGGTTAAAGACAAAGAAAACACGCTATATAATTTATGGATGGCAAAGTTAAGCAGAGGAGTTAGTATAATGAGTGACAAAATTCAGATATAAAACATTCCTGCCCCACCACTTATTCTTGCTGTGCCTCAGGTTTCTTATCTTTAAAATGGGCATGATAAAAGTTCCTGCTTCAGAGGGTTACTGTCAGGATTAAATGAGGAAATGCATGTAAAGCTGGTAGAGAGGACTCATTAAATGTTAGCTGTTAACTACTACCATTTTCTGGCTAGCCTGGAACTGTGGGCTAAATTCACAAGATAACGTTTAACAGATATAATTAATCATGTTTTGGCTCACAATATAAATTGTACAGGTTTGAGATGGAAGAGACCTGAAGTGATAGCAATCCATGTAAAAAGAAACCACAAAAACAAAGACAGAAACAAAAACCAAACCCAACCCCTCTGGAATTCAGGTGACACAGTGCTCGGTGAACTAAGGGTATCATTCCCCTGGGTCAGGGGAGTTAACGTGGGGCCATAGGTGCAATGTCCTGCTGAAGGCAGGTAAGGGAATTACCCCTGGAGCCAGAATCATGGTGCTGCCCTTTCATAGCTCTGTGAACTGGAGCCTCTTCAAGCTTTTGTTTCCTCCTCTAAATAATGGGGCCAATAATATTTATCTCTCAGGGTTATCATGAATGAGTAAAGGAAAACTTAGAGCAGAACTTGGCACATAGGTGTTCAACGAATTTTAGCTCCTCTCTACTATACCATGCAGATCTGTCCCTTGAAGGGCTTATAAAGCTAAGTCTAGGTGCCAACCTAGGGTGACTAGCGCCTTTTTGTATTTGGAATTAATGTGCTTCATTTTGGGGATCACATTTTAAGGGAATTAGTGGAGAGGTAGAATGTAGCTAGACAAGAATGATCAGCATGGTGGGAATGGGAGGTCTGGATGTGTGATAGGTAGAAAATGAAATAAATCTCAGATATTTAGCCTGGAGATTTTCTCTTTTTTTAATGGGGGAGAGGAAAGAGACATGATAACTGTCTATACACACTGTAGGAGATGGACAATCCACAGGACAGAATCACAGCCAGTGGTGGGAGTTCCACGAGAGCAGATTTTGGCTTAATTTGAAGAGCAACTTTCTGATAATTAGAGCAATCCTACAATGGAATGGGCTGCTTTTCAAAATGGTGAGCTCCTTATCATTGCAAGTTTGCCAAGAGAATGCTGACCTCCTTGCTGTCTTTTAATTTTTCTAATGGTTTTTTCTTCATATTCCTTTGCTTTCCTTTTCCTTGAGTCCACCCTCCATTCCTTATAGGACATTTATAACTACTTTGTCCCAAAGTACTTTTCTTCTCACTCCTCCTTCTTCTGTTTTCCAAACCCCTTTTCTCTTGGCTCTCCCCACCCCACTCCCAGCACACATTTAGTCCAATGATGGAACTGCCTCCCTGAGTTGTAGGCAGCCCATGGCCCAGAATGTCTCTGAGATCTGGGCCAAGATTGCTGTGCACACTGGCAGAGAAGGAAAGGAAAGCGAAGGGATCACTGTGGAGGCAGAGGTACTGCTGTGATTCTCTCATCAGGGTAGAGGGATCAGCGGAGTCTCCTAAACCCAGGTCTAGGAGAAGCCCGCCTGTCACTGAGCACTCACAGACAGAAGGTGGGGATCCCAGAGCTGAGCACCGTTCCTTCAAAGACGCTTTCCGTGAGCTGAATCCCCTCCTAGCTCCCCCTAAGCATTTCCCTCATCTCTGCACTACGCAGCCACCTTGTCATATTGCCAAATTCAAGAACGCACTCTCATACCAAGCAGAGCAGAGGATTGAGACAACTGGATCCCTGGGGGAACTCTCAACCCGGCATATGGATATGCAGGTACATCTGACAGCAATGACAGGCAAGCGTCATCTAGAACTTTCAATTCTCCTTTTCTTTCTCCTTTATGCCTTCTGGGTCCCCTTTCTTTGTCCTTGCATCATCTTCTCAATCCTCTCTCTGTTTCCACCTACCCAGCTTCTTTCTTGCTTCTTGGGGCTTGGAGTAGTTTCCCTCCCATTCTAGATGCCCAAGTGAGATGTGCCAGGGGGTGGCAAGGAAGACAATGCTCTCCCCTCCCCCGAGGGCCCCGCTACACTTCATACCATGAGCTGGGGACTGCTGGATGTTCGGGCTCTTGGGTACAGGCAGGCCACCTGGCATGGCAGTGACGATGGCTTGCTGATGCGGTGGTGGGCCAGACCGAGTCTCAGGCCCACTCTTCTCTCTAGGTACCACTTCCTTCCAGTCATCGGGGGTGCACTGCTGGGGCTGTTAAAGGACAGGACAGAGATGATCTTCTCGTGAATTGCCTCTACATTCCTGGACACGTCCCCCGTTTCCATGGAGCTTGGGTAGAAGGCAAGGACATTAAGATTCAGCTAGCCCCAAATTAGGGAGAGGCCCCTTTTCTTTCTTGGACTACTCAGAGAGGACTTCGACACTCAGCCCACCCAGACACACATCCAAATGGGGGCCGCGGGATTGCCTGAGCCGTGTCCTCCCGCTTTGCTCCCTGGACCTCGGGCTCGGCTTACTCACCACTGGCGAAGCAGGTTGCAGTTGTAAGATGACAGCCGAGGCATGCTGGAACCTGTGTTGAGGGGTGTGAGACAGGCCCTCAGGGTATCCATTGTGAGGCTCGACATCTGGCGTGGGAGGGTGGCACTGCTGAGTGCTGCCAGGCTTGTGCAGGTTGGCAGCGGGACACTGGAGAGGCAGGGTGGATGGGACTGGGCCTAGCGGCATGGCATGGGCTTCGGGGCCGGGTTGCAGGGCCAGGCTTGGAGGGACCGAGGCCAGCTGGGGGTGGGACGGGGTTTGGAGTGCTGGCCGTGATGGCTGGGGTGGCGGCGGCTGTTGTGATGCTTGCTGTTGCTGCTGCTGGATCCCAAACTGGGGCTGCAGGTGCTTTGAGGACGGCTGGGAGAGGAGCTGGTGTGGCTGCAGCTGAGCATAGGCTGAAGAGGGGGAGGCCAGGTTAGGTGGCATGGCTCGGTCTCACCTTCTGCTGTGCCCCCTCCCACATCCACATAAAGAAGGCTTTCCAAACTCGGTGTTCTTGCTTTCATCTCTTTCCTCTTTCACCTAGAGCCTGGCCGGACCATTGCCATGGCCTGGCCTTCTCTCTCTGTTTTCTTGCTTTCTTCCTATGCCGAAACATTGGGCCCTTGGCTGTCCCTCAAAGGCCAATGCAAAGCTCACCTCCTCTGTGAAGCCTTCTTTGATCATTCCAGCGGCTGAGAGAAACACTGGATTCTGCAGTGTGCTATGTTCTCTCTCCTCCACGCCCTTCACTCGCTTTTCTCTGTGCCTGCGACAGGTGCAGGCTCCCATCGCCCAGCCCAGCTCTGTAAGGCTGGATCTTATTCACCCTACTGCTGCTCAGTCTGGGCCCCTTCCAGGGAGTGCCAGTTGCACACACGGTCCTCAGGCTCTGTGGGGAGGCAGCCTGGGATGGACCACTGGTTCCTTCTGTTACCCAGTGGGGGACCTTGGGCTAGCTGCTTAACCTCTCTAGGCCTCAGCTGCCTTGTCTGAGAACCAGAAACAAAAAGTTCTTGCCCAGAAAGTTGTAAGGATGAAAGAAGAAAAATGCTGTGCGAATAAAACGAGAAAAAAAATGACATAATGTGCACAGCACAGTGCCTGGCCCACGGTCATCGTCAGTCATTTAATTCATGTATTCAATCAGATAAGTAAAGTGATTATTTCAGCCTTGGCTTAGGTTCTGAGTATCCTGGGCTCACCTCTACCATAATGACGTGTCTCGCAATGGATTATAATTGTTTCTTGGCTGTCTTCCCTTCCAGATCGTGAACCCCTCATGATCAGAAACGATCACATATCTCTTTATCCAGAACCTTGCATGATGCCTAATATTAGATGGGGGCTAAATAAACAAACAGGGCTTCCCTGGTGGCGCAGTGGTTGGGAGTCCGCCTGCCGATGCAGGGGACACGGGTTCGTGCCCCGGTCCGGGAAGATCCCACATGCCGCGGAGCGGCTGGGCCCGTGAGCCATGGCCGCTGAGCGTGCGCGTCCGGAGCCTGTGCTCTGCCACGGGAGAGGCCAAAGCAATGAAAGGCCCGCGAAAAAAAAAAAAAAAAAAAAAAAAAAAAAATTATAATAAATAAATAAATAAACATATTGTCCTGAACTGGAATTCATGTGTGTCATGCCTTATAGACAGAAGGGGCTCAGGAAATTCAGCTCAGAGACTGACTGTCCTCAAGCCGCTCACTCTCTGCCTAGTGGCATCCAGGCCCGCTTAGCATGAGGATTGCTCAGCTGAATCTGTCCTGCCTAAAAGCTGTCCTCTGCAGGGACTCCCACAGCTGGAGAGCCAGCAGAGAGATGTTGTGCCGTGCAAAAGCACAGAGGGCCACAGCTGGAAGCTCACAAATGGATTTTTACAACCAAAGGCTCCCAGCCAATGAGGGGAATGCAAATTCTGGGTCCTGAGCTAACACTTAAAAAGGATCCTGTGACACAGGTGCAAAGTAAGCAGATTTCAGAGTTAGGGGAGGTACCTTTTTTCTTGAATTCTGTCCATTTACAAGCAAGTTTCCAACTATCTCATCACAACCCAACACAGAGTTCCAAGCAGAATGCCAATAAGAATGGAAAGGAGAGGACAGAAATGAGGTGGTAAGGAGAAACAAAACGGTCCTTGGTGACTGACTGCTGTAGGCAGAGGAGGGAGTATGGTTGGCCCACGGGCTGTAACCTGGATGACAGGGAAAGATGGGAGGGGGAAACACGGACGGCCATGACGTTTTGAGAGACATGTGTGGGCCTTGAGGTGATGGTAGAATGTCCAAATGGGAATTGCCGGCAGGCATTTGGTGATTACGAATCGCCCCTGACCTCACCCTGAGCCTTGTCCCCTAATTACACCTTGAAGAGCTCAAACTTAACAATCAGGCCAAGATTGTTAGTCAGGCAAACTTAATAATCAGGGATTTTTAAGATGACCGTTGTTAGGACACTGGAGAGATACCGCAGATGCCACGAAGTGCCTGGCTAGTCTCTAGAGGCTAAAAAGTTCTGCGGAATGATGGGCAGCGTCACTGAAGACACAAGTAAAACTTGTTCTCCCTTATTACAAAACCATTCATTCCTGCCGGGGGAACAGAGTCCCTCTAGGGGATGCCGGTCTGAGCTGAGAGCTGGAGATGGTGCAGCTCAGAGAGGCTAGGAGAGTCAGAGGCTTGTCCCGCTATCCACTGGCTGTGTGGCCTGAGACGGGTCCTTTTCCTTCTCAGGGCTTCGGGGTTTTAACTGTGAGACAAGAGGTTTGGACTAGCGATTATACAATCTGATGGGGGTGGCTACCATAGGAAAAGAGTTTAAAATTCAGGATTTATAAGGTGGAAAAGGGAAGGTTAGAGAAGAAGGGTCTAGATCTATAGACCATAAAGAGTGTAGTTAAGCGCAGTACACCTTTGTTTACCAAGACTGGGAGAGGCAACTGTTGGCTTCGCGGCCCTCGATCCTGGGGCCTCCTCTCTGTCCCACTCTCTCCCCGACCCCGTGCTGCATGTGGAAACCCTAAGGCCATTGTTTTAGAACAAATGATGCTAGTATATGCCAAGGCTGGAAACAAAGTTCATGACGGCTTCGATAAGTTCACAGATCAAAGACCCCAGTGTATTTTGAGGGGAGTGTACATCCTTAACCTTTCAAGGTCAATAAAAAACCAAGACCATGATTTAACTCAGACATTATCCTGGGTCAAATTCCTTTCATTTAAAGTGTTGTAACAGCTTTCTAATTGGTCTGATTCCTGTTTCTTCTCTCTATAATCCACCTTGTAGGTAGATCACAAATGAATCTTCCTAGTGCACAGATCTGAGCCCTGATTAAAAGCCATCAGGGACTCTCCTTTATCTGAGGTTACCTAAAGATCCTGACATTCAAGATCTTCTCACAACATAAACTAACCTTTCAATTTTTATTATTTCTTTGATCCAAGCAATCTTTTCTGTCCACTGTCCCCTGTACGGAAGTTTGTGCCTTGTCTCATACTGTCTAGAGGGCCATAAATCAAATTCTCATCGTCCCTGTCCTCCTGTGGGAGGCTGGGCAAGTCACTGGACCTCCCTGAACCTCTGTGCCATCAGCTTTAAAGTGGGAGTAACGATGATACCTATACCTCATAGTTATCTCAGTAGATGACTTATCTCCCCTTGATAGGCGGAGGTTAGGATTTGTTTCCTCCAAAGTGCCTGGAATTTAGTAGATGCTCAATCAGTGTTGCTGAACGAATGAATGACAACACGGTGGGACTCCAGCTTGCTTGTCCCGCAGAACTTTTCCTCTTCAGAGTCAGAATATGGATGAAATGTGGGTAGCCCCACAGGCCATTTTGTTTTTTTTGTGGTACGCGGGCCTCTCACTGTTGTGGCCTCTCCCGTTGCGGAGCACAGGCTCCAGACGCGCAGGCTCAACGGCCATGGCTCACGTGCCCAGCTCCTCCGCGGCATGTGAGATCTTCCCAGACCGGGGCACGAACCCGCGTCCCCTGCACCGGCAGGCGGACCCCCAACCACTGCGCCACCAGGGAAGCCCGGCCATTTTGGGTTTATCAGCACTCTGGTTTATTGAAGGCTCTCCTCCTGTCCAACCTCTGCTCACCACCTTCCTGCCCTCACCTTCACCCACCCTAACTTCTCTGCTCATTGTCTGTACAACATTGCTCCCCCCGTGCCTTTTTGGCTTTGATTTCAGTGCTTCCGTTTTCTGGAATGCCCTCCTTCCACTTCAGTGATCTCAGTAAAGCATAAGCTTCTTTGGCCCAGGCTCAGCTCGTGTTTTCTCTCTTTGCCTTAACCCTCCATTATGGGTTTTCCCTCAGAAGTCCTGAACACTTTGTTTCTTTGATTCATTTGTGATTTAACATGTACTATCTTGTATATGTATTTCATTGATTCTTAAAAATCGATTCTTAGCCCCCCACCTCCACTTTAACATCTTTTGAGTTGGGATGCATATTACAGTTGATGATGTTGGTTTAATTGGTAGTGCTTTTCTTTCTTAGAGTTAAAAAAATAATGGTGTGTCTTACAATCAGTGGTGTCTTAAACTGGAATACTTTTATGCTCTTATGAGTTTATTTCCTATCTATCCAACCAGACTAGATGCTTTTTGAGTTAAAGACTTGTTTTACGTTTTTTTTTAAACTTAAAAGATGTGCTTTAATTGAACTAGGTTTTTAATGTTTCTTTTCCCTTCCACATTGTCCAACATAAAAAATCTACGTCTGTAGATGCTTAGCAACTGTCTGCTGCTGATCCTGGTGAGATCGATGGATTCTCCTCCCTCTCCCACGCCCTCCCAGCTCAGCGTGGGGTGGTGAAGGTGGGCACTTCCCACTGAAGCCACAATACCAGAGGAGGCCACATCCCTCTTCACTACAGCTAGGATGGGGCATATCAGTTTATGAAATATGAATGCACAGAAATCACTCTGGACCTTTATTTTTTCCTACAGTCCAGTAGCTTCATTTCTCGCTTGTATCTATTTTGGCTCCCCATCCCCTGCAGCTGGAAAGCTCACTGCTTCTAAGGAACAAAGGGTTGGTTCCATGGGACCTCAGCCACGGCTTTGGAAGGCCTCATCAGCCCTTTCTGTCAGGGAGCAGAGGAGGGGCAGGCCTAGGGCCTCAACAAATTAGGGCCCAGTTAAAAGGAGAGACTCCAGGCAATGCTCATCTTCCCATCTGGTGCTCTAACCTTGACGGCCTCCTTAGAATCTGAAGAGACCAATTCACTGTTCCCCAAACAGTTGGTTGTTAGCAACAAGAGGATTAAGGCCCCCATGCAGGAGGGCTGGCTGTGATGGCTTACTGGCACGCCCCCTTCGCTGCATCCGCTGCCAGAACTTGTGATCAGTAATGGATCTCGGTTGATCCCAAGTCCTCACAGATGCAGGAAGCAGCTCACTGTCCAGAAATGCT